CCTGGTAGATCCTCATCCCGTTGGATCCTTCCCATCTCCTGGGAATTAGGGGGGCTTGGGAAGGATCTTGGGACAATCCCTGCACTTGGCCTGGTAGATCCTCATCCCATTGGATCCTTCCCATCCATCCCATCTCCTGGGAATCAGGGCTTGGGAATGACCTCGGGACACCTCTTGCATCCTCATCCCATTGGATCCTTCCCATCTTTCCCATCTCCTGGGAAGCAGGAGGGATTGGGAATGACCTTGGGACACCCCCTGCACTTGGCCTGGTAGATCCTCATCCCATTGGATCCTTCCCATCCATCCCATCTCCTGGGAATTAGGGGGGCTTGGGAAGGACCTCAGGACACCTCTTGCATCCTCATCCTGTTGGATCTTTCCCATCTTTCCCATCTCCTGGGAATCAGGAGGGCTCGGGGGGTGTCCCGAGGCCCCTCCAGGGACGAGGTGTCCGTGTCTCCGGGTGGGATCCCGTCGGTGTTTCCCGCAGGGATGAACAAGGGGGCCGTGCTGGCCGGAGTCATCGGAGCGAGGAAGCCGCACTACGACATCTGGGGGAACACGGTGAACGTGGCCAGCAGGATGGAATCCACCGGAGTCATGGGAAACATCCAGGTGGGCCCGGGGGAAAACCGGGAAGGGACCTCAAAGCTCATCCAGCTCCAACCCCGGCACCTCCCGCTATCCCAGGGAATCCAACCCGGCCTGGGACACTCCCAGGGATCCAGGGGCAGCCACAGCTTCTCTGGGAATTCCAGCCCAGCCCCTCCCCACCCTCCCAGCCAGGAATCCCTTCCCAATCTCCCCCCCAAATCTCCCCTTTCCCACTGGGATCCATTCCCTGGGTCCTGTCATTCCAGGCCCTGATCCCAAATCCCTCTCCCGCTCTCCTGGAACCCCTTCAGGCTCTGGAATGTTCTCCGAGCTCTCCCGGGATCCTTCCCTTCTCCAGCCTGGCCATTCCCAGCTCTCCCAGCCTGGATCCATCCCCTGCCATTGGATCCATCCCCAGCCCAACTCCTCCCTGGGAAGGAGTTCAGGGAACAAGGGGGTTCCCTGGGAATCTCGGGGCTCAGGGCAGGGTCTCCCTTCCCCTTTCCTGCCTTTTCCATCCCCACATTCCATAAAAATCCCTCTGACTGGATTCTGAGTGTCCTTTATCCTGGAATCCCGGAATGGTTTGGGTGTGAAGGGATTTTAAGGCTCATCCCATTCCATGTTTAGGGACACCTCCCGCTATCCCAGGGAATCCAGCACGGCCTTGGACACTCCCAGGGATCCAGGGGCAGCCACAGCTTCTCTGGGAATCCCATCCCAGCCCCTCCCCACCCTCCCAGCCAGGAATCCCTTCCCAATCTCAAGTAGGAGCCAGGCTGGGTAGACCTTTTGCCCGAGCGAGTTCCCTACTTCCCACCTCACCTCCCATCCCGGGAATGACCCTTCCCGCTCTTTCACCGCATCCAGCTGTTTTTCCTGGCGTTCCCTCAATCCCGCAGGTGGTGGAGGAGACCCACCTGATCCTCAAGGAATATGGATTCCGCTTCGTCCGCCGCGGGGCCGTCTACGTCAAGGGCAAGGGGGAGCTCCTCACCTTCTTCCTCAAGGGACGGGAAAAACCGGGATCGTCCGCCAGCGCCTCCTCCGTCCCCCTGCCCCACCAGGTCCTGGAGAATTCCTGACCAGCCCAAACTCCGCATCCCACCCACCCCCCCGCCGCCGCCTTCCCGGCGGAGCTTCCCGCGGGATTTCGCTCCGGCGGCGGGATCGTCCGGCGGGATTCCCTTTTTTCCCGGGAACGTCGTCGGGAGCGGCCGCCGGGAGATCCAAACTCAGGGATGGTTTGGGAAAGGCTTCCAGGTCTTTTTCCCACGCGCTTGGAAGCGGCAGCTCCGACCCCCCTTTTCCCCGGAGCATCCGGGATTGGGGATGCTCCAACCCCCCCCCCCCGGAGCCGGCTTGGATTCGGGAATTATTCGGGAGAGACGTTCGGAAACATAAATCCGTGGAAAAGGACGGACGGATGTTTGCATTCCCGGCATTCCCGTTTTTCGGAAGAGGGGGGAAGGAGGCGGGAATGGCGGCGGGAAAGGGGATTCCAGGAGCGCTCACGGGGTCGGAATAGAAGCAGCGGAATTCCAAAGCCCTGATTCCTGGCCTGGTTTGTCCCGGAAAGGGGGGGGGGTTGGGTACCGGGAAGGCTCCCGCTGCTTTTCCAAGGGGATGTTGGTTGTTTTTCGGAGGGATCCTGGAATGGGTTGGGAGGGAAGGGAAGTTAAAGCTCATCCCGCTCCGACCCCGACGCCTCCCACTATCCCGGGTTTCTCCAAGGGAATCCCACCCGGCCTTGGGCGCTTCCAGGGATGGGACATCCCATAAAACCTCGGGCAGAGCCTCTGGATTTGAATTCCC